ATACGTCATGTTTGTAGTCGACCAATGAAGATGAGTTTACATATCACCTTGGGTTCGTCCTTCACCTTCTCAAAATGATCCCACACTTTGGATTTCCTGCCCGACATGTTATTAACTAGCCTGTGGAATAACCGCAGGTACCAGCCCTGGAGATTAACCTGACTCCTGTCTGACTGCTGAGCGTGGACACTTCCTGTGTCTGTCCTTTCAAAGTAAAGTCACACATGGTCCAGTCATATAGGTTTGGATTTATTTTGACTAATAGAGTTTTACGTTTGTTTTATTTATTCATTTTTTTTCTGCGATTAAGCGACCAATGAAATCTTGCCGACTAATGACCTCTCTGGTCGACTAACATTTGGTCCACTATCAGGAGGCAGCCCTAATTTAGTGTACAGGCATGAGAGTGGTATCAATCTTCTTGTGAAACCCTCAGCAAGAAAGTGAATAAGCATATTTCCCAAAATGTTAAACTGTTCCAGTGCTTTCCTGAGTGATGCATATCACGTTCAACTATTTTACTGGACGACCCTGCATTCCTTTTTTCTATTTGTTGACATGGTGCTTTGTTGTTGAAACAGATGCAGAGGGTCAAGAAGTCGCTCTACAGAGTTAAATGTTGTGTCCTAATAAGGAAATAAACAAGCAGCACACCTAATTTTCTTTTTCATGTATCAACATCAGTAAAGATGTTTAGAGAGGTTTATTTATATATTTTCTCTCTCTGTGTCTCTGTTGTTTCCACTCCTCTTCAGAACGGAGCCAAGTTCAGCGGGAAGGGCTTCCACACCACGCCGCTGGTCAACAACCCTGTTATGGCTAACCGCGGACACACACACACTCACTCTTGAGTTCACACTCTCTCCATCTCATATTTCCTCTTTCTCTCTGCCACAGTGTCCATTCTCTGTCAAGTGTCTGATTGTTTCTCTCTGTCGCACTCTCAGAAAATGAAACTGCCATCTGTAGTCCATAACTGATCAGTAAACAGTAACACTATCACTGCTGCTCTGCGGCCTGGTGTTCAAACATCTGGTGCACACCTGTTGCTTTGGAACACGACAAAAACTGGGACATGATTTCCAGTTTTTAGTTCCTGCTGCCTCCTGGCATTTAAAGGGATAGTTTTTGGGGGGAAATATGCTTATTCACTGTCCTGCCTGTTCACATGCTTCTTTCTTAGGCAGAAAAGTGGTAGCATGGTGCTCCTCATCCCATGGCTTCATAGAGTGTTCCTGGCGCTTTTTTTAATGACTCGCTAAGGGTGGATCTGCTCCCACAAATGAGCTTCTCTGTCTTTGTTGTGATGGTTTCTAACAGTGTTGGGCCGGTGTGAAAGAGCCAGACCAGACCGCCATACCGAATTTTACGCACTTGAATCAGAAGCTACTCCCGAATGGAACACAGTGACACCGTGTCCTAAAAGCTAACGAGCCTCCGACTACGTTAACGTTACATCACGTAACATCAGAGCTCTCTGTGCGCATTAATGTTTTAAATAGTCACTTTTGTATATCATCCTGTATTTTATCTCCAAGTGCACGTCACACACTGAGCGAGCCGCCTGTTAATGACGCTGTGGGCTAATGGGCATGTAGCTACTTCCATGTTTCAGATGATACGTCATGTTTGTAGTCGACCAATGAAGATGAGTTTACATATCACCTTGGGTTCGTCCTTCACCTTCTCAAAATGATCCCACACTTTGGATTTCCTGCCCGACATGTTATTAACTAGCCTGTGGAATAACCGCAGGTACCAGCCCTGGAGATTAACCTGACTCCTGTCTGACTGCTGAGCGTGGACACTTCCTGTGTCTGTCCTTTCAAAGTAAAGTCACACATGGTCCAGTCATATAGGTTTGGATTTATTTTGACTAATAGAGTTTTACGTTTGTTTTATTTATTCATTTTTTTTCTGCGATTAAGCGACCAATGAAATCTTGCCGACTAATGACCTCTCTGGTCGACTAACATTTGGTCCACTATCAGGAGGCAGCCCTAATTTAGTGTACAGGCATGAGAGTGGTATCAATCTTCTTGTGAAACCCTCAGCAAGAAAGTGAATAAGCATATTTCCCAAAATGTTAAACTGTTCCAGTGCTTTCCTGAGTGATGCATATCACGTTCAACTATTTTACTGGACGACCCTGCATTCCTTTTTTCTATTTGTTGACATGGTGCTTTGTTGTTGAAACAGATGCAGAGGGTCAAGAAGTCGCTCTACAGAGTTAAATGTTGTGTCCTAATAAGGAAATAAACAAGCAGCACACCTAATTTTCTTTTTCATGTATCAACATCAGTAAAGATGTTTAGAGAGGTTTATTTATATATTTTCTCTCTCTGTGTCTCTGTTGTTTCCACTCCTCTTCAGAACGGAGCCAAGTTCAGCGGGAAGGGCTTCCACACCACGCCGCTGGTCAACAACCCTGTTATGGCTAACCGCGGACACACACACACTCACACGCATACACAGTACCACCGCAACACTTGGCGACGCAGAAAGAGGGACAGCCTACCAGTCAGCCTCAGCAGATAGAAACCACTCCTCTTCCCCCACTTTTGCTCCCTCTCCTCTCCGGCTGCAGAACCCCCGGCTTGTGGTTGGTCCTGAAGGAGGACGGACGGACGGATGGATGGACAGACGGACGGACGGAGGACCAGAGACCAGCAGTATTCACTCTGGAACAACAGCCCTCAGCTCTGCATCTTCCTTCTGCTATCTCTACCTTTCCATTTCTGCATGACTTTTGTTCACTGTTTTGTACTTTCGGTATTATTTTACTTTCAGTATTTTTTTTCCTCATTTTTAGTTTCAGGTCTCGTTGTTTATTTTGTCGGACTCGGTGGTGACGCCATCGCCAAGTTCACTTGACCTCGTCTTGACCCTCGCAGCCAAGCTGCCCGTGGCTCAGTGTTACTTTTTTTTTATACACTTAAGAACAAAAACATTTTCATTTTGTGCAATAACGGTTTTTTTTTTCTTTTTTGGAACTAAAGTAAATGCTTATTTAATTTTGTGTGTGTATATGTAAAGGCATTTTTATACAGTTGTTTTATTTTTGTAGAGTTTTAAATTTTGTTTACGAAACCGTTCCCCAGGCAGCATCTCTGGAGTGTGTGTGTTCCTCAGTTGTTGTTTCTGTGTGTGATCGGGAGTGTGTGCACCTGTCTGTCATCAGGCTGAGCTGCCCTCCCCCTCCTTCTCTTCTTCTCCCCTCTTTAATTGTGTTGTTCAGTTTGATAAGGAGCAGAGGGAACAGAAAGGGATACGCAGCTCTTATCTTGATATTCCTTCCATTTTGCTTCATCTGTCTTGTGAAAATGGGCGAGGTTAACATGAAATTCCTTCATGGAAGTCTTGTTCTTCAGCCCAGTTAGTCGAAGGCATCCTGGAGGGAAGTGGAGGGATGGAAATTGCACCCTGGGATATCCTGAGAAACGAGAGGAAAGGACGGGATTGTGTTTTGGCCTCCTGAGCAGATAGAGCTTTAGCGGTGCCACCTCTAGACTGTGTGTATTTGTATATCTCTGTATGTGTGTGTCTCCCTCATGGGACTGTGCTGTTGCCATATTTTGTCAGTCAGGGGAAGGCTGGCAGTGGCCTGCTGGTTTTGTCTCGGCCATCTTTCTCTCCTCTGGAGGTGATTTTAAAAGCGAAGCCTCCACACGGAGCAGAATTTGACCTGAAAGAGCCTCTTCTGTTGAACATATATGCTCGTGTTTTCATTTTGTGCTTGTCTCTTTTTATTACATGTTGTAGGAGGGTTGGGCCGAGAAGGCAAAAGCTTATCTGACTTGAATTCGAAGACCCAGATTAGGGTGAGAGGGCAGAAAGCCTCTGTCTCGAGGTTCAGAGAAATCCTAGTTTCTCTAGTCAAGGGACACGGTCGTGGAAATCTGATCCCAGGGCTGAGGTCAACTCCGGCCCGCAGCTGTAAATCAGTGCAGACCAACACTAAAACGCTCAGCGATAAGGTTTTCTCCTTTGTGGTCCTGGACAAAGGAGGAGGAGGAGGGAGGGGCGGTCTTCCTGAACCAAGGACCCTCATGAAAGGGAATTATATTTTGATTCCATTCAGGAATCTTGTGTATATTTGATTGCCAGGTACTTCCGCTAATTGTTTGCAATGCCTTTCTTTGTGTTTACTTGGAGTGTGTGTACGTCGTTTTCCGCGAGCACACCGTGTCACAAATACACACACTCACAGACAGGACTGTCGAAGGCTGTGACTCGCCCAGAACACTACACACGCTGGTGTTATTACTATGCAAGTGGGTTATTCTAATTATCACGTCAGCTCTCTCCTCTTTCCTCTTTTTTTCTCCAAACGACAAACACTGCTTGTTGGACTGGAGTTACTGACTGACTACAAACCCCAGCCCCGCCCCCTCCCCCCACCCCCGGCCCCTTGTATTTGTACGGAGGTCCTGAAATGTTTCAAAGTCTAGTTTTCTACATATATCAGTCAGATGTGAGGAATGGGGGATGTTAATGTCAGTGGTTGGGTCTGTGTAGTGTGTGACATAGTGAAACGTGTGTGAGAAAGTATCGAGACTCATGACTCGCCTCAACAGGTTTTTAAATCAGACGGTTCGTGAGCAGGTGCACCCAGAGAGCGACTTGCACTCTGCAGGTGCAACTCAGGAGGGGTCAAAGTGTCCACCAACAATTCTTTACTTTTTACTGAGACTCTGTTCAGTGCTGTTACACTATTGTTTTCTAGTTTTAAATCATGGCAACTCTGATCCCTCAGTCAGAACCACACCTGGCATCAACTCAGTCTGAGATGAAGGGTTTCTGTTTTGACCGGTGGCTCAAAGGCGGAGCAGATTATGAGCTAATCATCACCTCCAGAGAAATTCCTTTCATGTTTAATAATTTGGCCAACAATAAAAACCATTATGGATGCCTCACTGTCGTACACTCACGATGTTACGCCCTGTGGATGGTTATTTCCATCTGCAGGAAGGTGATCATGTTGGTGCATGAAATGCAAAGTTCCATGCAGTCCCAGCCCAAAATAAATTGGATAGCAAGGTGGATGTAGTTTGACGCTACATCTCTGTCAGCCATGCTTTTAAGATTAGAACCAGCATTGATTAAAGGCTGAAGATGAAATTGCCAATGAAAGGTTGTTGACTGGGTTCGAGTTGCCTGCATCTCCACAGCAAAGACTTGACATGCAGTATCATAGGAAGTCTGTATGGATTAAAATCTCTGTGCATCTCAGCGGCCCCTCGCAGCTCGCTCTCGGCGTGCACTCTTTCTGTCCTGCTCCATCTTCACTTCTCCAGTGTGGTGTAAGCAGCAGGAAAAGGAAGCAGCAGCAGAGAGCGGGCCGGGGCCGCGGAGACTTTGGCGTACACATGTACATGTAGATGCAATGTAATATGACCCTCCATTGCAACACAATGAGGGATTTTAAAACTGGCGGCTGCTGTTTAGAGAAGAGTGGCAGCCGCTCTTTGTCCTGGCTGATTCATGTGAGCAGTGGCCCCTCCAGATGGACACTGAGCCACCAGTGGCCGGAGGAAACCACTGCCCAGCTTTTGGTTGTTTTTTTTTTGTTTTGTTTTGTTTTATTTTTTTGACATTTTTATGTAAATATATTTTTTTCTATTTTATTTTTTAATAAACATTTTAAAACTGCCAGTCTGCTTGTGTTTTTGTCTTCATGGTGACACCATACGGGTGCTTAATGCTGCAGTAACATGTGTCTGACCACACTGATGTCATATAAGTTGTCACGGCAAAAATGTAGGCACATAGTTCATCATCCAGCAGTCACAGAGCAACGTCCAGTATTCACTCTCCATTAAAGGGCCAGTTCAGCCTAAAATAAAAAATACATGTTCCCTCTGACCTGTAGAGCTGTTCATCAGTCTAGATTATTTCGGTATGATTTGCCGAGTGTTGGAGGTGTCAGCCAAAGAGACGTCTTATTTCGGTTACATACATCTGGAGAAACAGATTATTTCACGCAAAATTTCTCACAGTTCATAATGGAGAAAGGAACAGACTGAAGCACCAGGCTTATTTCTGTCTCTCCTATATTAACCAAAGGAAAACCCAGAATATAAACTAGCCTGTACCAAAGAGAGGACATAAATAAATTAATAATTAAATACATTATACTCTAAGTTATGATCCACAATAGTTTTACATTTGAAGGCTTTTTTTTTTAACTCAGTACTGAGTCCGTTCTGTAGTTTGACTCCCAAAACTGAAACACATCTGTATTTTACACTGAACAGGTTTCATAAATAAACAAACCTCTCAAATTCCTCGAAAAAGTATTTCCAATATTCTTAAAGGAATAGTGCACCTAAAAATGAAAATGCACCCATTATCTACTCACCCATATGTCGAGGGAGGCTCAGGTGAAGTTTTAGAGTCCTCACATCACTTGCAGAGATCCAAGGGGAGAGGAGGTAGCAACACAACTCCACCTAATGGAGGCTGACGGCGCCCCAGATTCAAACGTCCAAAAACACATTATTGAAACCACAAAATATCTCCATACTGCTCATATGGCCGTCTCACGGTCTTGCGCAAGTACACACATGAACACGGCGCACAGAGAGGCAGTCAGAGCTACAGGCTACAATGAGGCTAAAAACAGAGTTCAAATGACGTTTCTCCAAACATCTTTTTATGTCGGGGCTTCAGGACACTTGGATCACTACGGACGAGCAGTATGGAGATATTTTGTGGTTTCAGTTATGTGTTTTTGGACGTTTTCAGCCTCCATTAGGTGGAGTTGTGTTGCTACCTCCTCTCCCCTTGGATCTCTGCAAGTGATGTGAGGACTCTAAAACTTCACCTGAGCCTCCCTCGGCATATGGGTGAGTAGATAATGGCTGAATTTTCATTTTTGGGTGCACTATCCTTTTAAATACACAGTATCTGGAAATTTTAAAGTGTAGGAACGATTGATAAGTAGATTCACAATAACCTGCTTTATATAATATTCTGAGGACTCTTTTCTGAAGGTTAATTAAAGGATCTATATTTGTTTTGGATGCATTCCCCAAATCTTAGCACAGTAGGACATGTAAGGCATTACAAGTGAGCAATACAATATATACAAACATTTCCTATTTGACAACTGCCTTGTTTTATAGAAATATTTATGTGACATTAGTACAGAGTGTTACTTGCTGTTTAGTGTGATGATGATGAAACTCCTCTGAATGTGTCACATAAAGACTTTAAAGTAACACCAGACTGTTTCTGCTGCTGAAATAAAGAGTGGAAAAGTAGTTAATGACTGACGACGTCTGTCTGACTAACGTGTGACATTTATAATAACAGGAGCTGATTAACAGTGTGTGGATTATTTTACTAATTGAATATCATCTGTTTTATCCTCGTTCTCATCACACAGGTGTCTCATGTTATTCTGAGCTGCAGTGATGAATCACAGCGTCAAATATCAACACTGTCACTGCGACTAAAATAAACTTTGCATCAGTTAAAATCATGTGTTCAGTGTGTAAACCATTTCTGTGTTTGTGAGAAGCTGGTTTAAAACCAGTGGAAACAATGAGATGATTCTACTGACCTGTAACAACACATAAGTTCCTCTTTTTACCTGAGACTCTGGACTTTGGCCCATGGATACTTTTGTCTTCAGTGATCTGATTGGTCAGAGGTTGGGGTGTTGACAGTGATCAGGTCAGCTGTTCAGCATCAGTTACCATGGTGATTTATCCCGGTAAAAACACAACCAGCTTGAGTTAA